GAAAGAAATATCGACAATTAGTAATAACAAATGTAATAACTCAACGCATGAGATTTCCTGAAATTGAAAGAAGGCTTTGCTAGCTTCCCGAGTCAACCACAACATATCATTGTGCTAAACTAATCAACAATCACGTGCCATGATTTACCTTAAAAAAGAATCATTATGCCATGACAACATCACTAATCAAGAGCAAGACAAGAGTCCGAATATACAGAATGAGTTAGCATATAGAATCACACTAGTTCGGATCCCTTGCGCTTCCACCTCAATGCTATCCCTGTATTGATATAAGGAACACATAGCGATGAAAACACATGTTCAAACCGGATTGAACAAACAAGCAAATCGAATTCCATGCCGATCTGCGATCATTATCAATTCACCATACTAAAACGCTTAAACGGCAACCATTGTTTGCTCGCATTTCGTAAAAAACGGAGACAACACAATGATGTAAATCGAGAGAACACTGGAAAGTAGTATGCGTGTTTCAAAGCAATCCAAGCGATGCGTGTGATTTCGACGATTATTAACTCTGAATATTGCAATCAAGAACTATCGCAATCTGAATATTGCAATTCAAAGTGAGTCAAGTCCATTAAGGAGCATTCAGACTTAGCTAGAATCACCGGTCTCTCGGTCCTCTCATCAACTACTACTAGTCTATTAATGCTAGTGGCACCAAAGCTATTAGCTCTCCTCTTTTTTTATTCACGTCTCATTCTACTTGATTGGTGATTGGGCAGTCATCGAGAACATTGGCGTTTTTTCTATGCATCGGATGGACAAAAAAATTAAAAAAAAACATTCGGATGAAACAGGGGGATCTGATCGAGGAAATGCTCACCTTAGCTTGTGGAGGTTGAAATGATCTTCAAGATATCCAGAGTAGAGCTCCATCATAACATGCTCAAAATGATCTCCCTTAAATCAATACTTATTACTCGATCACCTCACCGCATGTCCATCAAGCAGAAAGTAGTAGTTCATTTACCAAAACAAAGAATAATAGTCAGGATTCGTGCAACTTGAAGGTTCAAAGATCTACTCTTAGGTTGTCTAGTGTTGAATGAACATGGAAGAAGATATGGTCTTAGAAAAATACTCTTAAGATACGATCATTTAAAAATACAAATGTTTGATCACTTACTTTGATTGGTGATTGCTTTATTCGGGTGACAATATAAAGATTCTCGTAAACATGGGTTCATAAGTGCTATTCCGACTTATCTTGGAGAAGCCAATATGATTGGCTATTCGTTTTGTATACTTGCGGTAATTTGCGGTCATCCGAGTAAGAAGGCAACAACAAATTGAGCATGATTAACTAAAGTTCAAACAATCATGAATCATATTTAGAAGAACACAAAGAATCGAGAAGCTAACATGTGTTAGACCCAGAAACCATGCCTTATTGCTTTCAAGTTTCAACCTAGCAGGATTGCGGGAACCAAGAGATAAACAAGCAATATTTGGCAAGCTCCAAAGCAACAACCACTTAAACGGCCGGCAGCTTAGGCTAGGTGGTAGAGGCGCCCCCCCCTGCCGAACCGGGCGGGGCCTCACACGCCCTGCCGAACCAAGTATACCAATAGATAGATAGAGGATGGATTAGTTGTTACCTTGTGGACTTGGCAATGGAGAGGCGTCCCCCAGCGCTTGCCGACGGATGAAGAAGCGATGGGGCCTGAGGAATCATTGCTACCGCCGCCATACTGAGGAAGCGATGGCGACGGATGGAGAAGCGATGCGGCCGATGGAAGGATCTCGGACACCGAATCGGCTGCTTCTGCTGCCGCCCGCCGCCGCCCGCCTCCTCTTCCTCAACTCAAGCGCCCGCGCCGCTCTCGGCTCCCAAGACCCGCCCCACTCGGCCGCCCCTCGTGAGGCAAAATCCGTTTTGAGATCCTCGGGCCGACCACATTCAGCGATCCGTCAGACGACTCGGGCCGTATCTCACGGCCCACCTTTTTACAAGCTAATCCAATCCAACTCGATCTTTTGTTTACATGGCCCATATGCAATCCGTAAAATTAGGCCCGTGAGTTTGGGGGCCCTTTTCGGCCTTTTGGGTTTACACGATCCATTCCTGAGTTTAGGCGCAGCGTGAGGAAGGGACAAAGGCGTCGCCGTGCAAAGATAGCGTTTCACGCCACATCTGCGCCTTGCGGCTCCACGACATGTGCTCATAATCGATGGCTCATGTGCCTCTTCTCACAAGTGACAAGGAAACCAACAAACACGGGCGTAAATGGAGCTTCTTGCGCCCGAACTCAAGCGTCAAGTTATTGTTGTTTGGAAGAAGGCCACGTTACCCCTCAACTCCCAAAAGTCCGCTTTTTCTCCCTCGAATTTTAAAATCGGGCAAAACAGCTTCCTCAACTTTTAAAACCGTTCCCCTCAACTCTTGTGAAAGTCCGTTTTTTCTCCCTGAATTTTAAAATCGGGCAAAACAGCTTCCTCAACTTTTAAAATCGTTTATCTTATCTCTTGACCCTGTTATAAGCAGTTTTGAGGGCAGTTTTGTCTTTTTCTTATTTATTTATTTCGGTTGAATCTTTGAAAAATCAAATCAAAGAAAAATCATAAAATGGAAAATTCAATTTTGTTGGACTCCACATGAGTAGATCTATACAATGAACATATAATATGGTATGTTTTAGTACAAAGTTTTTTTTGTAGCTTTAGATCTATTCTTTTCTATAATTAAATGGAATAATTCATAGTTGCAGTTTCTATGGTCCAATTGTGGTGAAATTTTTATGGTGGGCTAATTATTGTTTGCTTAAACTGTAATAAAAATTTTATCCTTATTGGATCATGTATAACTTAGTTATAGATTTTATTTAGGATTATGCTTGTTAAATATAAATAAATCTATAACTAAGCTATACATGATCCAATGAGTATGAAATATTTACTATAGTTCAATTATATAATAATTAGTCCACCATAAAAAATTCATCACAATTGGACCATAGAAACTGTAGCTATGAACTATTTTAATTAATTACAGAAAAGCATAGATCAAAAGTCACAGCAAAAACTTTGTACTAAAACATATCATATTATATGTCCACTGTGTAGATCTACTCATGTAGAGTCCAACAAAATTAGATTTTCTATTTTATGATTTTTCTATGATTTACTATGATTTTCAAAGATTCGGCCGAAATAAATAAAAAAGAAAAAAATAAAACCGTCTTCAAAACTGTTTATAACAGGGACAGGAAGATAAGATGAACGGTTTTAAAAGTTAAGGGAGGTGTTTTGCCTAATTTTGAAGTTCAGGGAGAAAAAACGGAATTTCACGAAAATTAAGGGAGGTAACGTAGATTTTTTCCTTGTTGTTTTCCGTGCGAGTTGCTGTCGACCCCGCGGCCCGCGGCCCGCCTCACGGTGTTGGGCTCTTTCGCCCAAGTGGGCTAGAGCGTAACCGGACAGCATTCGGCCTGCACTCTACTTGCTCGACCTTTGAGGTCGCCTGCATTCGTTGTTTGAAAAGAAGGGGCCTTCTGTGTTTCTCTCTTGTGCTTTTCTGTTCATCAGGATTCGTAGGTGTTCTCGATATCTTTGTGAGGCTGGTTTGTACGGAAATGCTTGTGGCAAAAAACAGATGCGCAGAGATTGCAAAGGACAAACATCAGGCTGTAGGAATTGTTTACATAGGCTAACGTGCCTGTAATGTTTTAGCAAGATGAGAACAAGACTACCGTGTAGGGGTTCATTCTGCAATAGGGAGAGTATCTTTTCAAGTTACAATTAAGCTGCTCCGCACAAAGGGAAGCTTCCGGTTTTCTTTACGAGTTCAAAAAGAAGTTGCTCTGCCTTGGCCTGATTGCTTGGAGATCCTTGCATTTCGTTCGAGCCAGATATCCCACGTGAATTTGTCTAAAAAAGAATACCCCACGTGAATAGACTGAATAAGGAGTTCGGACTTCCCCAGGAATCAGATCACGGAGGTTGGAATGGATGGATCCACGAAGAGTAGTGAAGAACATAGTCATGTATAGAATTCAAACAACTCACCGATTTGAATTGTTGTTCAGGGTTTGACATATTCAGACCCCCATCCCAAAGTAAACCTAGACTGCAAAGTGCAAACAGCAGTACTCATCATACAAGCGCCCATTGAGCGTGCATATAAATCTAGCAAAACTTCAACGCATTGTCAGGCACATCATATATCATATACTTAATGACCAAATCATGCAAGTAAGGCTCCACATATTTGATCAAAGGAATAAATCTCAATTGGGAGTACAAATGTTATTCCAATAGCCAATCAAATGTTCAGATATACCCAAGGTAATAAATAGCGTATAGCGGGCTGGTAGCGGAGTGGCGTCTAGGTAGCGGATTGCGGATAGCGGGCAATATTGCGGATGATAAGTTCCAATAGCGGCACTTGGTAATCTCACATAATTTTAAATACATATATCATAAATAATGAGTATAAATAGACATTTAATTGCACTCAAAGAACTGATGTCTCACATATTTAAATTAATAAAACAAGCATGGTGTTCCACGCATTAAATCATCACATTAAGAGTTTGCAAAGAAACATATTATTTGCTTCCACGCTACTGCGGTCTGCTACGTGCAATTGCGGCCCGCAATATCGCTTGCTATTCAGAATTGCGGTCGCAAAGTTCCAGGCTGCAAAGTTCAGAGCGCTACCTCGTAGCGGTCGCGGCAATCTACCGCTATTGCGGCCGCTACCACCGCTATTTATTACCTTGGATATACCTCACACATCAACAGATCAGAAGGCACAACAGTTGATGTTAAATCAGGAACCTAGCTCAGCTGGTAAAAGAACTGACACCACGATTCAGACAGACACATCAAAGAGCCTAGGAGAAAATTGCCATAAATATCTAACTTTATAACTCCACTGCATCAATTACTAAATTGAATCCTTACATCAGGAATTTGCTGCACCCTCTCAGCGCCTTCTTCCAGGCACCATCTCTCTAGCGCATCGCATCCACTTACAGCCGTGAGATGTTTCTTGGCAATATGTCCACTGCACTTATTCTCAGATTTGGAGCACCATCGGTTTCCAGACAATGAAGGGATTCTAGGTTGCACAGGCCTCTGGGAAGAACTGCAAGATCAGCACATTGACGTATCCTTAAAGTCCTGAGAGACTGCATCATCTGCACGGAAAATTGAGTGAGCCTGGGGCAAGAAATTATCTCCAGGGATTCCAGAGCCGAGAGGTTCTCGAAGCAAGAAGGAAATCGTCTTCCAGGGTAATTTTCGATGCGCAGATGCTTAAGGCTGGTATGTGGACAGAGTGCCTCAATGACCGTCTCACTGTTCTCTATGCCCTTCTGCTGCTCGTCCTTGCAGGTGTCCTCACTCCATTTCAGCATCAATTCGCGCAAGTACTCCTTCCCGCGCAAATTGGCCTCCATGACACCATCATTGGTGGCAGCTTCCAAATTAAGAATACAAAGCTCTCCGCGGATCTTCAAATTCTTCAACTCATTAATGTTGCACTTGCCTCCATCCCTGGAGACCACAACAAATCTGGAAAGAGTTTGAAGTGACTGTAACCGGTCAATGCCACTTGGCATTGATCTAAAAGCAGTAACTCTATCCCAATCAATATGTAAACTAAGGTGCCGCAAGTTAACTAATCGGCTCATGCCTTCAGGCAAATCCATGAGCCAATAGCAGTCCCTGAGGTCAAGTGTCTGCAAATTGAATAGGTTGCAGACTGTTTCTGGAAGAGTCTTTATCAGAGTATTCCGAAGATTGAGGTATCTGAGGTGTATACAAAATCCAACAGAATCTGGCAGGAGGTCCAGCTCTGTGTAACTCAGGTCTAGTGCACGCAGACAGGTTAGCTTCGAGAAAAGTGCCGATGGTACCTGATTCAAGGGTAGTTTCGTTGTGGGGCATAATTTCAAGAGCCTTGAATTTTCACAGTGTTTCGCTTGTTTTTTTTCAAATGGGTTTAACAGGGGCCAATATAGTTGTATAACGAATCCACTCAGGATGCTCAGCTACCGTGAACTGTCAGGGCTAAGAGTCAGAGATTCATGTTTAGAAACAAGTTGTGCTAGCTCAAGCATCAAACTTGGCACTCTAAACTTTGATTAGGGAAATTGTGGGAAGTTTCAAAGAATGACCTCCATAGGAGCTCGTCAAAGCATCTTCCAGCTTCCATCTCAACCCTTTTCCTTCCATTACTCTTAACAAGACCGTCAGCTATCCAGAGTCTAACCAGCTCATCCTTCTCAAACTCAACACCAGGAGGAAGTATTGAACAGAAGGCAAAACATTGTTTGAGATGATATGACAAGTGCTGATAACTTATCTGCAAACTTGGTAATATATTGTTTGTGTTTTGTCATCTTCAAGAATCTGCATACCACCTAGTATGCTTTCCCATCGTTCTTTGTCTCCATGAGTGTCGGACAATAGCACCCCAAGAGATTTAGCAGCCAACGGGGAGCCTTGACAGTTGGCGGCAATCCTCCGCCCAATGGATTCCAGATCTCTGCTGCTCCACCCCAAGAACGCATAGAGTTTGAGGATTTGCCAGCATTCTTCATCTTCCAAGCGCTCTAAATGGATGTTTAGAATGGTGGAACTCATCCTAGACACCCTTTCGTGCTGAGTAGTGATCAGAACCTTGCTTCCGCCCGCTCCACCAGTCAATGAGGGCCTCAGAAATTCCCAGAACTGAAAGCCCTCTGCCCAAAGGTTATCAATCACCAGCAAGAAGTGTTTTTTATGTAGGTGGGCGTGCAGCCGTTGCTGCAATATGTCCAAGCTTAGAAGTTCACATTTTTGACTGGTCACAGCTTCAATGATCATTTTGGTGGCCTTCCTCACATCACACCTATCTGGTAACCAAACCCAGATCTTGTCAGTGAAGAAGTTTTGTACCTCAGGATCTTTGTAAAGTTGTAAACCGACTATGTCAGTGCTGTCTTCCCAACGCCTGCGGTTCCCCAGATGGAAATCACCTCCATTTCTGCACTGTCAGAAACCAGAGCACGGACAATCTTCTCCATCTCTTCGTTGCGGCCAATGGGCCTCTCGTCGCGATGCGCGGCAGATTCAAGGAACCGTGGGCGCTGCATCGGTTGAGCCTCCGTCCTCCTCCCGTCCCCAGCTTGCAACCTGAACCTTTTCCTGCCCCTGTTGATCTCGTCGAGGCGTTCGTTGATCTTGGCGATCTTGTCATCCAGCTCCACCGCTGCCGCGGGCCGAGCTCGACGCTGGGCCAGAGCCGCTTCCGCTTCCGCGACTGCTCGGCAGCCGCTAGCCTGGACACGGCCGTGATGGTGCCCAGGCGGTCGAGCAGGGCGTCGACGTCGAAGGCGGCGGCCCTGAGCTCCCGGAGCCAGAGCCTGACGGAGTCGTGGTCGACGAAGCGGCGCTGCTCGGCGTCCTCGAGCACGGCGCGGATGCATTCCTTGGTGCGCCGCAGCTTGTCGGCCTCCTACTCGACATTCCACAGGCGGGCGCCCCGGGAGCAGAGAGCGTCGATTACCGCGCCGCCGATTTTATCCGGGAGACCGAGCGCCGTGAAGATGCCCTTCAGCGGTCGGTCCCCCAGCATGTTACTCAGCCGATCCATGGACGACGAGGTGCCGTGAGCCAAGGAGGGGGGAGTTGACTTGTTCTAGGAACGGAGATCTTGAGCTGTGAAGCGAGCTGGCGAATGAAAAACTCGCTTCTTGTAGATTGGCCGCGAGTTCTTTGCTCGGGATTGGATGGGAAGTTCAGTGGCCGCTTCCAGGAAGGCTCCGCTCCCGGGCAAATGAACGAAACGCCTTGCGGCCGGAGTGGGGTGAGGTCGGGCGGGACCCTTACCTGAACGGGCAGTGCTGGCGCCCGACCTCCGACGGACGGTGCCGCGCACGCACTTTCCCAGCGCGCCCCTTCCTTGTTCTGCACCGCACGCTACCAGCACGCTCTCCGACGACGCACGCAAAGAGCGGACCCGCTGATGATATTACGAGGTCAGGGCAGGAGCATGGACAGACGTCGTCACCCTAAGATCGTGCGTCCGCGCGAACTGCAGCTGCGGCGTCTTCGTCGTTCCTCGAACGAAGAGCCCCGCTAACACCGATGAACCCGCAACCCGCGATGCCTACGAAGAGCCCGCTTAGGCTCGTATCGTCTTGATCCGTCGCCCCAGATCGCTCCGCAGCCCGTCCGTCCTGGCTCGCCTCTCCCGGCCGAACAACATAGAAAGCTGGAATAAAATACGTGCAACAACACGGAAACAACTACTGCAACATTAGGCTGAAGCAGTTGAAACATCATGAAACATATATATTACAATAAACAAGGAGCAACAGCTGCAACATTGGGATGAAGCAGTTGAAACACCATGAATATACTATTGCAACAACAACGAACAATAGCTGAAACATTAGGTTGAAGCAGCTGAAACGCCATGAACATATTATTGCAACAACACCGATCTAACTGCAGCAATACTAGGTTGAAGGAGCTGGAACATTTGGAACATATTATTGCAACACTGGTGTGAAGCATAAGAAACAACGCTCGAAATAAAAACACTTGCAACAACATGGAACAACTATTGCAACATGAGATTGAAGCAATTGAAACATACTACAACATCTTAAGCAGTACTATTGCAACATCGCAAAAACATCTGTTGCAATAACCAAAAAAAAATTCCATTACAACATTCGAAATCATCTGTTGCAACATAAAAAAACCATTGCAACACGGTGAGATCTGACCCCCGAGAGCTCGGCGGAACCCTAGCCACCGCCACATCCCTTAGATCGAAAAGAGGAAGAGGAGGAGGAGGTGGAGGAGAAGGACTCAGATCTAGAGAAGGACCCACCTATCTTGCCGGAAGCCGCCGCCATCGTCCTCTTCTCCGGTGGCATGGAGGTCACGGAGGGAGGGAGGGAGGGGCGGCTCGCCGGAAGCCACCATCATCGCCCTCCTCCCCTGTGACATGGAGGTCGCTGAGGGAAGGAGGGAGGGGGGAGGGAGAGAGAGGCAGCTCGCCGGAAGTCGCCGCCGTCGCCCTCCTCTCCGGTGGCATGGGGGTCGCGGAGGGCGCGACGGCGCGGGGAGCGCACGGCTCAGCGCCACGAGCGGCTCGGGAGGGAGCGGCGGCGAGCGTCTCCGTATGGAGCGGGCTAAGTGACGTGGGACAGGTGGATGAGGATAAGGCGAGGGGAGCGAGTGGAGGAGCACGAGCCACGTCCGGAGGTGAAGAAGCGCGTCGGACGCCAGACATGTAGCATTACCGTTACCTGAACTAACTGGTCCCATAGTCGGTGAACGGTGACTTGGTACTTGGCAGCACTGCAGCACGTATGGCACACCGCACACCTCATCCAAAAACTGTGTCCGAATTCGCGCCGGAACGCATGAATAACCGTTGACCCGTGATAGGAAATCAGATGACCTAGAGAGGCAAGCTCTGTTTGTGCGCTTGTACGGACCTACACAGCCATCGCCCTCGCACATCGCCCATCAGATCAGGTATACACAAGAAGCCTATTCCTATTCCGAAACATACACCTGATTGGGTGATTCGGGATCGGCAACAGTTTCCGAGTCGAACCAGGGAACCATCAATTTCCCCGCCACGCCTAGTATACACATGATGCCATCGATCTCGTCCGCTTCCTCGATCCATCATCCGCCCACTCGATCCGTTCAAGCAACATGGATCGTCGTCTTCCCGGCGGCGTGCCGGCGGTACGTCTCGCCAGGCGCTTGCAGCTCGCCACCTTCTTCGCCACAGACTCGACGACACCGTCGTCGAACCGCGGAGGTCGACAACAAGCAGGTTCACGACAACGGCAGCCCCCCGCACTGGCGGTGGACGCGAGGATCGTCATCCGGAGGCACTTCCCCGTCGTCGGCCCAGGCTGCACCCGCATCGCTGTGAAAGTGGCTGAGGACATCGCCCTCCGCAGGCGGCCATCGCGCAAACTGCGCGGGCCCGAGAGCGTGGAGAGAGCTCTGGCCGAGGAGGTGCTCCCGCTGGTCGCGCACCCGTTCGACCGCGGCGCCGTGGTCGCGTCCCGGAAGGAGATATGCGCGCACGTGGCCGCGGCCTGCGCCGACCCGCGCAACGCCCGGGGCGGCGCCCATGTCCTTGTTCTGATCGATACCTTCGCGTGCCCCGTGGTGTTCCTCCGCCTTCCGCTGCCTCCCAAGCCGATGAAGACTGTTGTTGCCTGTGCGCCGAACAACTTCGTCGTCACGAGTGTCAAACCTTGCATGGACGAACTAGAGAGCGTTGTACCTGTACCGGAAAAGAAGCCCGTCGGCGTCATCGGAGATCGGAAGCCAAAGCCGGTGGTGGAGAGGTACAAAGGTTGGGTACCGTGGTAGGATGGGCGGCTTTTACCTTCTAGGGTACCTCTCGAAACTGGATTTGCATTTGCTAGACGGCTCACTCGTCTGTCCTAACATGCCAGCATGCCCATAGGCAGATGCAGGCACGCAGTTGAAGGGCACTGCCGCTTGTGAGTTGTGACCGCGTGCCTGCGCCCAGGAATTCCCTTCTTGAGGGACATGTATTATTGTGAATTAGTAAGAAGTTTTGAATTATAAACAACCGCTCGCAAGGTTTATGAATAGTGAACGGTCTGAAGTAATTTCGACTAGCTAATTGTATTTATGGAAATTCAGTTTCGTGAATTGCTGCTGGCATCTCGTTGTCAACTTCTTGTCTTGTTTGATACTATATGCGGTCTCCTTATGCTTGTTTTTCCCTCGAAGCCCAAACACACAAGGGAACTGCGCAATACATTAACAAGGGATATTATTATGCTCGCACCACGTGAAACTATAGAAAACGATCACTAACCACCAAAATTAAGGGTTTGCTTGGACCAGCGAGGGCTAATATCAATTATGCTGCCTGAGTTCGATGTCGGCTTTTGTTGATCAGAGAGAGTACTATGGGCATGTCATCCTAAAACCCACCCGCTTATCCCCACGTTGCCTACAATCCATAGCTAGTTCCATAGTGCATATCCAGCAATGACAAAGCTAAAGAAAATTGAAGAGATGCATTTGCGTTATAGGTGCATACACTTGTGTTATGAAAAATACATATGTGGTGGAATCTTAGTCAAATAGTTTCGCCCCTGGTAAGTGTATTGATCTCTAGTGACAATGAAAGCTAGTGTGGTACTTCCTATGTTTCTAGACACGGTGTAATTCTAAAATACTGGGGTAAGTCATGTAATTTGGAATTTAACCAAATTTGTATAAAATAATAATTATTATCATACTAAATATGTATCATAGTTTGTTGTGTTGATATTGTTTTCTATAAATTTAGCTAAATTTAAGATAGTTCGACGTTGACCCAATTTAGAACTGCATCCTCTTTTTGAGACAAAGACTTAACTAGAGCCCAGCAAAGTACTACTATATATACCCCATCCATTTTTATACATCTGATATTTAGAGCAAGCTACTTAATTCAAAAAGAGTTCAAAAAGAATTAATTACCATCCTAAATGTCATGTATTTAGAAACAGAGGTGATAGTGATACCGAGTTGTCAGCAGCATATTGACCTATGTAAAAGAAACAAAAGCAGATGGAGATGTCAATGGCTATATCACTACCGGAGACCGGCCAGTTGCCGAGTGTCAGGTGGTTTGCCGAGTGTTCTTTTTCGGGCACTCGGCAAATACGTCTTTGCCGAGTGTTTTTTTTACACTCGGCAAAGATGCTCTTTGCCGAGTGTTTTTTTGACACTTGGTTTTTGACACTCGGCAAAGAGGCTCTTTGCCGAGTGTTTTTTTTGACACTCGGCAAAGAGTCTCTTTGCCGAGTGTTTTTTTACACTCTGCAAAGAAGCTCTTTGCCGAGTGTTATTTTTTTACACTCGGCAAAGAAAATTTCAAAGCACATTTTGAAGCAGTAAATTAATTCAAATGAAAAAGTTTTCAACTACAAAGTTGTATAACTCATCAAGATGTACAATGTTTGTTTTGGTCTTTTCTTCATACGATAAAGTAAAAATAAATTTGTTCACAAATCTAACATATCTCTCTTGTAGTTTATGAAACTATAAGAGAGATATATAAGATTTGTGAATAATGTTAGAATGACCATGTCGGATGAACAGATGATAAAACAACCAAAATAAACTTTGTAGATCTCGAAAAGTTATGAAACTTTGTAATTGACAACTTTTTGATTTGAAAACATCTTGTCATATAAAACTGCGTTTGAATTTCAAAATTTTAAAATTTGAACTTTTCAAACGACCTCGGATGAAAAAACAACCAAAATAAACTCTGTAGATCTCGAAAAGTTATGAAACATTGTAGTTGACAACTTTTGATTTGAAAACATCTTGTCATGCAAAATCTGTTTTGAATTTCAAAATTTTAAAATTCAAATTTTGTAAACGACCTCGGATGGAAAAACTTCCTAAACTAAAAGGGTAGATCTCGAAAAGTTATGAAACTTTGTAGTTTACAACTTTTTGATTTGAAAACATCTTGTTATGCAAAACTGTGTTTGAATTTCAAAATTTTAAAATTCAAATTTTGTAAACGCCGGAAAAACTTTCTAAACTAAAAGTGTAGATCTCGAAAAGTTATGAAACTTTGTAGTTTATAACTTTTTTATTTGAATTCGTTTAGGGCCTCAAATATGCAATTTACACTCGGTTTAATATAATATATTGGGAATTAAAACGGAATCCAGACACAAGTGAGAGTGTGGTGTAGTGGTAGAGGAGGTACGTGCACAGCGAGAGGTCTCGGGTTCGAATCACGTCGGTCGCGTAGCCATGAAATTCACGCGAAAAATGTCGTAGATGGGTGGGCGCTGGCCGGTGGGGGCGCCTCCATAGCCTCCATCGATAAAAAAAATTCCATTTTTTTTGGTAAAAATTCCCATTTTTTCGGGTTTTTTCGGTTTCAACTTTGCCGAGTGTCGGACACTCGGTAAAGGCCCGATAAAAAACACTCGGCAAAGTTGGCTTTGCCGTCACTTTTTTTGGCGAGTGCTGAACCATTTGCCGAGTGTTTTAGGTGGTTTACCGAGTGTTTCGGACACTCAAATTCAAGCAGTCCGGTAGTGTATACCTTTTTTTTTCCGCATGAAAAGCAAACCTGTGCATGTTGAACCCTCATCGAAAGAAATGCGGGTGGGCAAAAACTACAGAAAGACAACAAGAATTATTCAAACTGCTCCATCACCTTGCCCATTACTACTATCATATCAATAATAAATACTCCCTCCTATTCGAAAAAAATACAATTCTAATATAGTATCAAGTCAGATTTTAAGTTTGATCACATTTATATAAAACATGTCAAACCAAATAAGTGCTATTAGATTCATCTGAGATACATTTCATCATGTTTTATGTTATGAATATAGACACTCAGTTTTATAAACTTTTTTTTAAAAAATTGAACAGAGATAGAGATAGAATTGCATCTTTCCTCAGACGAATGTAGAGTAGATTGTTTAAATACTAGAGTTCTACCTTGATAGCTGGTTGGGGCGTCATGGCTCACCAGATTAGTGCGTAGCCAACGGACACGACGACCACTACCTCTCGTACAACCATGGTAGCCTGGCGCGGAGGGGAAAGGGAAAGAGGACTGAGGTTCTCTCCCTTTCTTTGAGGTATTGATTGAGAATTTTCACATGAAAAATTAGGGAAAAATAATTAAAAGACTATCAGTTGGAGCTATGAATTTGTAACTCAACCCTATTTATGCAAGGATAGAAAACAATCTCTTTTCTTAATCTGGTAGAGTTGCTCTAAGCTCCTATAATATACTCATTCGTGCCCTAAATAAATGGATTCCTAGACTTATCTTAAGTCAAACTTTTTAAAAATTTGACCGATTTTTTAGAAAAAAAAATGTCGGTGCATAAAGTGATCAACACGTAAATATTTATAGTTTTGCCATACGTTGTGATCGGATGTGGCCTAGCACTCAATGACACAGGGTTTATATTGGTTCAGGCAACGTGCCCTACATCCAGTTTGAGTCGGTCGGTGACTTTATTCCTGAGCCCAGGTGCTCGAAGTTTGCTGTGGGGTTACAAACGAGAGGGAGAAAGATGGGGGTGCAAAAGGCCCGGTCGGACTCCGGACTGAAGGACCGAGAGTGACGGGAGATCCTACGTGCGCTAAGTATTCGAGCATGTGCTCTGTGTAGCTTTAGAGTGTTTAAAGCTAACTGAGGGTGAATCGATCGTTGGTTGTTTGAATCGTTCGAGTCCTCGTGTGTGTGTCTCTTGGAGAGTTGTTGTGAAACCGATCCTCTTTTTTGGAGAGAGGGCGTCCCCTTTTATAGATGAAGGGTATGACCTTTACAAGTGAGGAAGAGTACGTATGCCACTAAGTCTTGTTGCCCACGCCGTCGTGTACAAGATAATTGTAGGTGCCCATAACACTGTTAATGTCAGATGCATGTGGGAGGTTCCGTCGTCTTCTTCTGGTATGGCAGATGCCAGCGCCTACCATATTGTTGATGTCCAGAGGCATGTGGGGGGTTTTACCGTGTTCGCCTGGCATGGGAGTTGACGGCGCCCACAACACTGTAGGGCAAATGTCGGTGCCCACAACACTGCTGGGGCTCTGACATGCCTGGAAGGTGGCAGGGCACCCTTCCGACATGCCCCGTTGGTACTGTGTGTTGCGGTGTGTGAGGTATGGTCCTTGGTATTATGGTTGATTTGAGCGCCACGCTTTACTTGCTCCGCTCGCTTCGGGTCCCTTCTTGAAGCGGGCGTCCCGGTCCGGTTGGTCCTAGTCGGCTCCGACTCACGCCATCGGAGAAGAGTCATGCAGAGGTCCGTGCATCCCGGTCGGAGACACGGTCTGGAGTCGGAAGCGAGACTCGCTCCTCCTCGGTCAAGCCTTCTGGTCGGAGAGGCGGGTTGGAGTCGGAAGAGGCCTTCCGGTCAAGAGGTAGGTCGAAGTCGAAACGAGGCTTTTTCGGTCAAGAGGTAGGCCGAAGTCGGAAGAGGGCGTCGTTCCTCCTTGGCTAGAGCCTTCCGGTAGGAGATTGGATTGCCTTCGGCCTGTTGTTAGGTATTTGGGCCAGCCAGAGTTGCGCGTCGTCGCTCGCGTCGTCTGGCTGGGCCAAGCTTTTGGCCGAGAAGCAGTCCATGAGGGACCCCGGGTTTATGAACCCGACAGAGCCCCGGGTAATTTCGGTAGAATCGTCTGGGGATTTTATCTTGACAATGGGTGCACGCGAAGCCAGCAGGTGTAGCCCCCGAGCCCCCCGGCGATTCGGGTAGAATCATCCGGGAGGGGTTTCGTGTTGCCAGTGGAGGAATTTTTTGTTTCGTCGGTGGTGCGGCGTGATGCGCATCCGCGGTGTAGCCCCGAGC